AGGACTTCATGAGGACCAGGGACCTTACCGCGACACCGTCGTCCATTTAGTCACAATGCTAAAAGTTTCTTGTCCCAACTACAGAAGAGCCCCCCTTAACCCTTTCACTCCCGTACGTCCTCCAATCAGTGCAATACATTATTTCCTTGGCTGCATCATAAACCAGCCGTTCTCGACTGGACAGCCACTCTTTGTTGAACAGTCTTTTCTATTTCTTTGTCTCCTCTTCATTTCAGTTTTTCTCTTTTGTGTCTTCCCTCCTGGTTTTCCTACACCTGCTATGTGCCGCCACATCCTCGCCTTGCACTGAGCAGGTCCCGTCTAGGTTGCTTGGTAACGAGCGTGCGGTGGCCGAGAGGGCAAAGCGACACGTGCACGACACATCGTTAGCAGGACAACTTGGTTGGCGTTTCCTTCTCAAGGTGGCGGCGCGTGAACTGGTTGAAAGGCCTGCGGCGCAATTAAAGAACCCGTTAGAGAGCGATATACAGAATTCCACTCGCCAAAGTGGCCCCTGAGAGTGACGGCGCTACCTTCATGCGCACACGTTAGGATTTCACCTGACTTAAAGTTAAATAACATACATTTCGCTCTCTAAACCCACTCGATAAGCTGTGAGGAAGCAAGGATTTTAGGAGAGAATGAGCGAGAGCTGCAGGTTTAGTAATTCTCCCTGACACATTGACAGCTCTCCTCCGTCCACCTGAAGCCACCGCCTGCCTCAATCTGCCCGTCAACCGATCACGCGTCACTTCTCTGCTCTCGGGCCTACGACACTCGGCTCCGGCTTCCAGAGTTCCAGAATGCAGCGACCACATTAGTCTCATTCTACGCGTGGCATTGGAAGCTGCAGCTGTTCCCCAATGGAGAACATCTGTGCTCATGAGCAACAACCACCAGACATTGTGTGAGTCGAGTTTCTCTAGTGGTCGTTGACCAGAGCCCCCAGGTGAGAAGCTTTGATTGGCTGTTCAGTGTGACATCCAGTCACCCGAGACCTTCATCCTCGGTGGCGGACATCGTTGTGAGGGAAGTGATTGATAACCATGCAGGTCTCTTGCTCTTTCTATCTCTCTCTCTCCCCTGTAAATTGAGCTGCTACATGACAGTGCCATTACCTACGGCTGCCACGGCTAAATCAAACACTTAAGTGTGTGAGTGATTACTGGCTCCTGCTCTTCACCCTCCTCTAGGTTCCTTTTGACTCTCTTTTAGGAGGGAATGATTCCGGTCATAGATATATTACGTGTGCATCAGATGATTTGTGTTTGGTTAGTTTACATAGTAATGGAGGACATAAAAGTATAGCAGTTCTCACAGCAAAGCGAAAATGAGGAAGGAAAGAGATAAACATGCTCAAAGAGGTACAACTTCACTAGAGCGACAAAAGAAACGAATGGAGATGAAAAACCAGCAAAGAAGTGACCTTGGTATAGCAATGCAATTAACAGTTTATTGAACTTCACAGTTTTCCATTTAACATATTTTGGGCTCCAGTAATGATGAACATATTCAAAGGAAGTTTAGTCTCAGTAAATCGCTGTGAAATACATTTAGTATGACCTTTTTTCTGTTTGAAATATTGTGTGATACTTTAAAGAGCGCACAGGGTCAAGTCCGTTCTTCTGTTGTATAGCCAATTTCTTTTTATAACCATTGTCATCCGCAAAGTAGTAGGCCACTCACTTATTGGAAGAACTTCCAAGAAACCACTTTGCGCTGCTAAATAATTCAGAGGAAATTATTTTCATCATTAGAAAAAAAGCTTTTTCTCCCAAAAGTATTAAGAAATGTTCTTGCAAATGAACTGTCAACAATTTCCTCATGGGCCAAAAGTGACCCGTTCAGCAAACCGCCTTACTGTGAGAGCCAAACGTTCGCTTTATCCTCAGGATTGACCCCTGGATGTTGGCATTGGAGAGGAGGGAGGACCTCACAGCGTATCTCCCCACATGCACTCGTTCCCACTGACTTGAACACCACTGTCACAACAATATGTTGAGGATCTTCAAACTGGTCCTTGGAGAATTCGTTTTCACTCCCACCACAGATTATGCTCCGAGGCCGTCGGATTACCTGTTAATTTGAATTTCAGTTTTTTTCCTCCCAACAGTAACCAGCCAAAGTTTAAACATTACAAGTAATCTCCCCGCAATCTCTCCCTCACTCTTGCCAGCACCACCTCTCTCTGCCTGCACCGCCCGGCGCTACAGCGGCTCCTCTGCCGCACGTTATCAGTTCAGAGAACACTCACTCACCGATTGATTCAGATGAATAGGTAAAACTTTACCTTCCCAGATAGTCCTTATCCACTCTCCTCCACCCAAACCCTTCCTCTCTACACCTCCATGCCACATTAATCGTTGGTTTTCAGTCGTAGGACGTGTTGCCTTCGCCTTATCGCGGGGGGAGGCGCTCGCAGGCATCTGCCTTGCAAACACGCTTGCATACACATGCAAATATTGTCAATATAGGATGAAGAGGATGGCTGTGTTTACATGTAAAGGAATATGCACTTGCATGCGCGTACGGGGGCCTCTGCAAACAAAGAGGTGATGATAATTGTGCTGAAGACAATGGTGCGTTTTATGGAGCTTTGGGAACTGATTGTGTGCTTATCTTGAGTTGTAATTAAAATATTTTAGTGTCTTGAACACATTCTCCCTGTCTAAATACTAACGCAGACTAGAAGCACATTGAGGCTTCTGTCTTAACGGATGGGGTTCCACGACACACACAAACCTGTTCTCATGACTGATTATCTCTAATTTAGGGAGTTCGGGGTCTTTATAGCCTTTTTTAGCTACAGGAACAGTAGCCTAACTCATGAGGCTAGTGACCCAACGCTAGATTCTCATCAAATGGGTCCATCCTCCTTCTGTGTCTCATCATCATACTTATTTAAGATATTTAACAGGCATTAGTTTACATTCCATTAAAACAGATCAGTTGTAGTCTGACATTGTTAAACAGAGAACCAATTAAACCAAAACTGTTAGTGCGCTACTTAACGTTAAGAAATCAATTAATACTTTTTAGAGAATTTGACACTTTGCGTATGAATATAACGCAAAATGGAGAAGCTAGATTCCTGGTGAAAACCAAACAGATGGGCTTGTTGGTGAGACCACACAATTCCCCTTGACCATTAAAATATTACGTACTTTGTGACAAAGGTTCATCCTAAGCCAAGACTGTTTAGGTTACAAGAATAGCCCTACTCCTGTATCGGTTTAATTAAAAGCGAGTTGAGCTGACCTCTTAACACCCGTCTTTCTCGACTTTCTCCTTTTTTATCTCTGAATCTTTGCCTTTGCCTGCGTGTTTCTCACAGACTGTTTTTTGAAAGTTGAACCATAACAAGATTCATTTCTCTGCGCTCTCGTTTTAACAAGGAGAGCATGAGTGTGGTTCTTGTTCATTAGTATCACACCACACCTCCATCACCCTTAGATCTGGAAGAGACAGAGGTGTCAAAAAGGACGGTGTGTGTGTGCGCACCTCTTTTTATTCTTTTTCAACCTCCAAGCAAGGAAAATCCCCAAAAGCTAATTCACACCAGTCTCTCCCCCGGCTCTTCCTCCCACTATTCTACCTCCATGTGTTACTTTGCAACCCTGGTCCATATTGTACGTTTTTTTTCTCCCTGTAATAGTGTGCATTTTCTTAGTACTGCTGAAAGAATGAAAAACCGACGGTACGTCTCATCACCACTCCACTAAAGGGCCATTGCAAATTGAATGTGCCAGCCCGGGGAGATGCAACCGACGGTTCTCTATTGGGCCTTGAACTATATGTGTTTGTTTGCGTCGCTTATGTAATTTACTTTCTCTCCTACTGGCATTAATGCTAGCTTAATAGCTTGAGGGAGTCTTGCGTCAATGTTTTGTGGTCTTGCGAAAAGATTATTTAATAGCAATAAATATTCAAACTTTCCTTTATTTCCTGAAGGAGGAGAATATTTATGTGACATGAGCCCGTTCACGTTTTCTCCCATGTCGCTTCTTTCTTTAATCCACACACCTTCCACGTGTTGCCTACTGATAAATATATACTTTAACACAGTGGGGGATCCTTGCTCCAAAAAGTGAACTGTATCTTTCCATTCTCGGGCCGTTTGAATTGATTATTTTTGTAGAAAGCCGACAGGCTAAAAAAGTAATTTGTTTACCTAAAAAGTAAAGGATTAATACGTTGAATATGCTGTGTTCAATCCTCATGGGGTTTAGAACGACTGCTTGGGGGAAACAAGTTGATTTTTATAACAAATATAAAAATATTCATGTATTCATCAACTGAGCTATTTAATGCAAACATTTTACTTTTGGGGTTTATTTAGTTTAACTTTTTTATAGAGTAATTGTCAGGCAGATCGTACAGGTCAAGGATGCTTGTGCCTGAAGGCCGATGGTCAATATTAATGACTGTAAGCCAATTGGATCCCATCAGTAGGTCAGAGGCTATCATGGGGGTGCAGAAGCAGGAAGTTAATATAATTAAAGATGCATCTTACTGAGAAAAATATCTTTTCCACTCTTTTTTTTGAGCTGCCTCCCTTCTGTGTTTCTCACACATTAGTGGCCGACCTTCCTCTTTCCTATTGTGTGTGTGTTTGTTTTCTGTTTAAATGCCTCATAGTTCTCATGGACTTTCAACAAGAGATAGAACATTCTTTATATTAGTGGTTGAGAAAGAAAATGAGTTTGAAGATAAGACGTCTGTGGTCAGAACAAGGGGGTCGCCCCCTCCCCGCTGTGTGCCTTCGGCCCGCTTCTGGCCGTTTTCGGGTGGTGAGATCGCAACGTGGTTTCTGGTTTTGTTTTAAAGTAAACTTTTTATCCGGAGAAGGTTCATGCTGATCATACACGGATCCTCTTGATATTTCATTGCTACAGAAGTTAGGCAGAAGTTTTCCCCTGTTGGTGTTCAAAAAAGCTTTTACAGCCAGAAGAAAAGCTTTGATGTGTGGCTTGATGAAATGCTCTCTGTTGCTTTTTTAGGGTCCCGGGTGTAACCATCGCTACAGATTTAATCTGCGGTTTTCCTGGTGAGACGGAGAAAGACTTCCAAGAGACCGTAGACTTGGTGACCCTTTATCGATTCCCCAGTCTCTTCATCAACCAGTTCTACCCGAGACCCGGGACACCTGCTGCCAGGATGGAGCAAGTAGCAGCCCATGTGGTGAGTGTAGACGAGCAGATGCGGCAGCTTTTATCCATTTATTCGTTCATCAAGTAGGTTTTTGGGGGTAAATTTAGCTGACAATGTATACACCTTATAAAGATGTGATTGTTATGATGGTGCCAGTACGGTTGGACAATTAACTTCACTGTAATCATTGGATTTACAATACTTTGAACCAATGTATCGTTCCACAAATTGTACATTTCACATTTGTATGACTTTTAATGGAATGTTTTGGACATTATTAAGGTGGACCTTTCTGACATTTTTCAAAACATGTTAGGACTTTATTTTTTTGTTTACCTTTTAATATAATGTTTAATGTAAATTAGTAGCAATGTTGGTAATGAACTTGCTACTCTATAGCCCCTGTGTATGTGTAGACTTTCTGCTCAATATATTTATGAATCTTATCTATTATCATGTATTAATGCGCAATAATGCACAATTGTCAAATTAAGTTCAGTTCATTGTGCATTTAATTCAGCTACACGAGCATAAAGCGATACTGCTTCGGCTCATTCATAGTTGCTTACTTTGCTAGTTACATTGATAGACATTTAATTTGCAAAGCTGTTGAAAAACATTTGTATGCACCACTAACAGTTTTCCTGAATGTGCTACTTAACCAAAGCATGCTACCTGATCCTGAAATATTTGTCTTACCTTTTGTCTTTAGTTTGACCCACATCATCATGCGATACACTATATGTTCCGTCCCCTCTTGCATTTGCACTCATTCCTCTGCGATGAAAGCACCAACACATCTCTTTCAAGTGGAACGTCCTCATAAGTCATTCTCTTTTTCTCCTCTGTCTCCTCTTCGTTCTCTGAGGAGAAGCTCAGCGTATCTTAGAGGGATCAGTCCCCGGACAACCACATCCCTTCTTCTCTTCTTCTGACGGCTTTTCCCCTCCTCCCTTTCTCCTCCGTCTGTTTCATCCCACTTGTGTTCTTCTTTTGTCTCTGCATGACAGCACACGTCTATCCGTTCTTCCACAAGCAGCTCTGTGATTGTCAGAATGTGGCATATGGTTTGTTCCTGTTGAAATACAATATTGCTAAATCAGCCTTTTTGTTCATATGAAAAAATTATGAATAGTGAGTACTGAAGTATGACTAAGAGTATGAGTCACTGTGAATCACAGCCATCTTTAACAATTGTATTTTTGGTTTTGCCTAAAATAAGACCACACTTCACATTTTCATCCTACGTTTCTAATGGCCATTTTCACTGGTGATTTTGGTGTTTAATTTAATTGTGAATCTATTTTTGCTTAACAGAGAGAAGTAAAAGGTGAACGAGAGTCCAAATAATATGTTCGGCTCCCTGTAACCAGTACACCTGCTCAGGTCATCATCGCATCATCAGTCAGGATGCACCTGTACCATATATACACACACAGACGGATACGCACGCAGCAAGTGGTGACAGCATGGCGATGTTTAGGCCATATAGGGTCGGTCATTAATAAAGTGCACCAGATGGTTTGTCTGGAACACAACTGTGTTGAAAATCCACAGGAGGGATGGATGAACTAGATGGAGTATGAAGCAGAGAGAGAGAGAGGGAGAGAGAGATTTATCTGACAGCACACGTGTGCGTGCGTCCATCAGCGCAAAACTGCCTTCTGCAGGGAGGAATGGACACTTTTTGGATATGTGCATAGGATCAAGTAATTTTACAACAGTGGAAATTCTGTATTATGGGCTAGTTAAAACTCTCAATACACCCCATTTTTCACAACACTAAGAGTTACACATTGTCACAAGTATTGAGTATGTGTGTTGAGCAGGACCATATAATGAGAATTGATGTGCTTGGTTTGAGAGGTTCACACAAGCCTTGGTGATCCTGGAAACTAGTTTTGTTGACGTTGTTATTCTGTGGCATTATTGATATTCTGAAAACAGCATTTGTCCAAAGCAATATATCTTTTTCGATCGCTGCCGAGTTGGTTTTCCTCATCTGGCCATATATTGCTTGCGCACCTAGTCGACTGTTTAAAGAACCTACTCTCTTAAGCACTAATATTTAATAAGCTTTTATATTTTATTTTACTGTTACAACAATACACTTTTGAATAGAAACTGACAAGAAAAGCTTTGTCTCGTTATCATTGTCACTGAGTGAAGCAATGCAACCCCAAGTAGCTGTAGCCGGTCCAGCTGTGATGTGGTCCAGGTGTTATCTGTAGGTGTAACTTATTACCTATTGCAATAGATGATATATGAGCGATACAGAGGCAGATGGAAAGAATAAGAGAGACCACAGGGATGGAGGGAGCATGTTGAGAATAAAGGGATGTGAATGCTATTAGCTTAGATCTCCACAATCATCCCCATGTGGCTAGAACTTATCCTTGATAAATGGACTTTGTGAGGTGTGTGTGTGTGTGTGTGTGTGTGTGTGTGTGTGTGTGTGTGTGTGTGTGTGTGTGTGTGTGTGTGTGTGTGTGTGTGTGTGTGTGTGTGTGTGTGTGAGAGAGAGGGGTTTGATAATGAGCAGCTGCTCGAGCAAAGGAGAGAAAAAAAAGCGACCCGAGGATGGAGATTAGCCATTTCTAGTAGGACAGTGTTTTTAATTTTCCTCTGGTTGCAATTGGGTTAAGAAACTCCATTACCCACAAGGCAGCGGTGTGGCAGCTGTCAAAGTGAAACAGCTGGCCAGCTACCAGCAGCTCCTTTTCCTACCTTCACCACCATTTATCTACGCCTGGGCACACACACGCATCCTTTCTCCCCTATCTGGGAGGTCACTGACGCTTTCATACAAATCAGGAGAGATAATAGCACTTAAATGCAGTCTTAGCCGATAGCTTTCATAGTGCTTTGTTATTGCGATGTATCGTAAAGACACAAAGCACTGGATGATTGTAGTCTGCTGATATTGAAGAAACTGTTTTAGAGAAATGCATCTACATTGAATGTGACCAGAGCCTACACACACCCACGGCTATTCACATCAAATAGTATGTCTTTCTCTTAATAACATTTAACAGTCGGCCTTGTGTACACCTAACTCAAAGCTCAACACAGCTGGAACTTGAGCTGTTTAGTGACCTCTGAGGGAGACGTGTCCCACTGTCATTGGGATGCCTTTAGGACGTGCTAACTTAGACACAAGCACGCACAGATTATGCCGACCGTTTATCTTGCAGTAATGTAGCACACCAGAGCCAGGGGTGTAGGCTCTGTAGCACCAACATCTGTCCGTCATTAGGGGAAGACAAATGGGCTCATGCTGGGGACCCAGAGGCGTATGCAGTGTATCCAAGGCAAGATCGCTGTTACCTTGCCCCACAAGGCACTCACTGGCATACATGTGCAGTGTTGCTCCCACCACTACGGGAGGACAAAACCTGGAATTGTCATTTTCCCCACACGCGGCAGTTCCGCCCAAACATGTGCGCAAAAGTGTATGCGCGCAGGTGGCGCTCACAGGTGGCGCTCACAGTGGCGGACATACTGCCCCCCGTCGGCCAAAACCTTTCGCCCGAATACCCCCCTGTGCCGACCCCTCTCCCGAAGTTGTAAACCATGGGGAAACACAAGTGTTTATAAAGATATAAACACACATTTCTGAGAATCAAACTTCTTTCTCTGAAATACACAAATGCACACACACACACACACATACACTTGTCTTCCAAACCTTTGAAGCCCTTGAAACACACTTGAGTGTGTTTTGCCGATAACAATCTTGGTGCAAGCATAGAACATTTAACGGCAAGCAAACATGCTGATATCACACAGGCAAACATCTGTACTGACTATAACTTCAATCACCGGGATGTAGACAAGAATGTAGAGCTCAGTCTATGTATTTGCACTTTGCGTCTATCTTGCCTCAGAGCATTGTGTAGATACTCCAGACAAAGTAGGTTTATGTAGAGCAGCTGCTTTTATATAGTGCACATATTTTTGAATGTCATTGGCCGCAGTGTGTGTGCTCCTGCACGTGTTTGGAGTCTGTGCATGAATAAGTGTAAACATCCATGTAATGTCACTCCCCGTTAGACGTCGCATCCGTCTCTGTGGACAACAGATGGACAGAATGGTATCAACCATCGTTCATCATCACCACGGCGACAGGTCCACATATTCACACACACACACAAACACACACACACAGACACACACATGCTAGATTAATTTCTTTGGTTGATGAACCACACGCACCCTCGCTCATAGACACGCATACCTGTATACAGGCGCTTTATTGTGCAGCACACTAATGAAGCTCTGAGAGGCGATTTGAATAGAAAAGGTGACAGTGACTTGCTGAGAGGCAGCATGTCTACAATAACCATTGATGTTTAATCGAGTGGTCTTACATTATGTCGAGGCTGCACTTGGGATTCAGATGTGACACTGATTTCTGTATCAGAAGTAGGTTGTATTTTCAATCGAAGCAGGATTGTTGATATTGTAAAATATTGTATAAGAAGCAATAGGTGTGTTATTGGATTAAGTTTTGTCAGAAGAGAAGGCTGATATTACAAAAGAAGGCAAATGCAGAAAATGCAGCATTCTGTAAGTGGCTCCCGATTAATTCTACAGGTGCAACTTGTGGTCTGCTCAAGGGCACCGTGGCAGCAGCTGTGGTGGCAGAATGAGAACCTTCCCCTAACTGATATTTTTCCATCAAAATGTCCCATCTCCTAACCTCCAGGAATTAGTTATAGGATTAGTAATATGTAATGAGATGCTGTTTTTGGTTGGAATTTAGAAATGCATCTTTTTTTTTTTTTTTCTTCATTTGTTCTCCGTATCCATTTTTCTTCTTCTTTTAGTTATTTTTCTCTGCTTTCATGTTAGTCATCCATGTGCCCTTGCATTCAGCATGTATTCACATCTTGTCCTTTTCTTACAGCTTCTGTTGTTCTGTTTTTTTAATCAATGTGGGACATGTTGGTACCTTTGCCTGCGGTGTGTGTTTTTGTAGAAGTGTGTTTGTGTGTTCTGCTGGGAGCTCATTTGGGGTTGAGAAATCCTTACCTGCCCCTACATCCGTCTTAGGAGATACACACACACACACACACACACACACATGCGCACACTGTTGAAAACAAATGCAAAAAAGAGTGGTGGTGAGAGCGCTGAAGGGATGGAAGGAGGAGAGAAAATGGTGTTAAGCAGCAATGATGAGAGAATCGCTCTCAGCTAAGGTGCTCCAGGCAAAGAAGGATGTTGACTGACAGACTCATAAGGCAGAGGATGGGTGAGCGAGTGGAGACGGAATGATCAGTATGAGCTTCCCCCTCGTTGGAGAAAAACATGTGGAGCGAGGGAGATGTTGAGCGATGGATGGAAAGCCAACGAGAAAGAGGGGATTTTGAGTTTCTGGAGAGCCTGGTGACGCAGAGAGCAAGCGGGAATCATGTCGAAAACATGAGAGGATGGTACACGGACAGGGCCAATGATTAAAGGCCTGTGTGGATCACTGGGGAACCGAGATTGAGTAAGAGAAGGGTGTAAATGGGCGGTGAAAAAGAAGCCGAAGACGAGGAGCGATGATAGGTGCAGTGATAAAAAAGAGGAAGAAGAAAAGGACGGGCCTCGATAGAGACACGGAACGATAGGCAAAGTCAAAGTGGTAGTTGACCGGAGGCCAAGGAGGACCATCACTGCCCTTTAAACACGTCCTCCCTTGTTGTATTATATTTATTCAAAGGTATATAATTCGCTGTCCTCGGATTTGCAGCGTTCACTCTGCTTGCTGCATTTGACTGTCGCACTATAGTGATGCCTGTGTGTGAGAGCAGAGCGATTGACCGGTTGTCTACTCCGTATGTACAGATCTGGCCTGGGGACATTGACTTGTTGCACTTTTCATATGCTGAGGAGACGCAGGGAGGAGAAGGCGGGAGCATGCATACTCCCTGTAGCTGCTGTAGCTCGTATCCTTAGCCAGGCGTTGGCCTAATCAGCAAGCTAATTAGCACTCTTTGTAACTGCATTGGCCTCGTGTAACTGATTGCCTTAACAACTGCCACACATCAAACAGTCATGTCTCACGTGTGTGCATCTTATTACAGATTAAGGACACGCAAGGTTACGGCCAGACTTTGAGATGGAGATTACAGAATGTTTTACAGATTTAATGAATCGCTGTAGTCATTGTACTCGCCCAAAGGGATTTTTTTTATTTCTGTTAAACCAAGTTAACATGTGTGAAACTCTACTGTGTGCGCACATTTATGTCAAAATGTATGTCTTTTTATGCAATAATATATCATTATATACATATTATAAGGAACAATACTGGGCAGTGTCACTGACTCATTTGTACAATACATGATTACAATTGTCCTAAATCAAAATTGTCACAGAAAAGAAAAGGGCAGACTGAAGTTTAGACTGAGGTTTCATAGACGGGACATTGTCTATGAATGTTTTCCCCCCGTCTAGAGCTACATAGTCTACCATCCACAATCACAGCAGAATGAAGTGATAATCAAGCCCTGTTTGTTAGGTCTGTTTATTTGTATTTTACATAATTACGTGGCTTTTAAACCCCGAATGCACTTTGTTTCTTTTGACTGTTCACAGAAGAAGCAGAGGACTAAAGAGCTGTCACAACTATTCCACTCGTACAACCCCTATGACCACAAGGTAAGACATCTTTCAGTGTTCCCGGATCGCTCTGCTGCTGGTTTACGGTTCCGTATCTGTCTACCGGCCTGTTCCAGTTACTGACATGTGGACTGCTCTTCTTCACGGGGGGGAGAGCGCTGAGTATTGAGCCTCACTCACATGTCAGCCACAAGCCTTCACTTGACATCAAAAGCAGTTGTAGTTCGCAATCATCGTATTGACTTTATAGATTTGATGAGTTTCCTGTCTCCTCAAGATGGACACCTCTTGTCAGCAATCCAGTTGATGAGGGCAGCTCAAGTGTTTTGTTCCTGATTACATTGTGACCGTGTGTGTGTGTGTGTGTAAGAGAGAGAGATTGAACTCTGAAGTCACAGTGAAATCTCCTCAGCAGAATGTATGTGTATATGTGTGTGTGGATAGGGCATCCATAATGAGGTTAACGTCTGTCAGCAGACTGAATATGCCTCTCTTCAGGCATTCTAATGATGATGAGGCCCCTGTGACAGCAGTGTGTGTGTGTTCTCTGCAGTGTTCTTATATAAAGATGTCATTTTGACAAGTGACAAGCCCATGACATCGGCTGTCATTTTTCGCTGCCGTCATGAGAATGAAAAATTGTATTTTGACAGATTACGTTTTATGGATTCTTCTGTATGGCTACACGCAGCCAAACATATGTTCCTTCCAGCTTTTTCTTTTACTGTGATCTCGATGTCTGAGTAGTGGCGTTAATAGTAGCGATTTCTTGCTTATCATGATAAAGTCAAATAGAGTACAAGGTGGGGTTCTGCTTCTGCAGAGTAAATGTTGTCAATATGTTGGGGATTGAAGCCTTCCTTGCTGTTGTCACACTTTCCTATTTAGCAAAGTTTTAGCTTGGCCAACTTTTTTAAATTATTTTTTTCAGATTATACCTCTAGAGGAGTTTGTGCCTTTGGCGCTGTTGTTGCATGTTATGCACTAATTAAAAGGATATGAGAGTGATCACGTTTTCACTCTGGCAGGCAGGGGTCTTTTGCCTCCCACACACTAACACACACACACACACAGTTGAAATGGTACACATGGAACGCACATGCTCGCAACCAGGGAATGTGAATTGGGCAAACTTGGCATTGAATATCTTTGTAATGCATTAACATGTTTGCATCTAAATCAGTTAGTTAGCATTTGCGAACATGCTTTTCCTCAAGTGCAGTTCCAGGGGAATTTATTAATGGACTGTACTGAGCCATCTCATAAATATAACTTCACAATTTGTTATTTCATACATCTGTGTGCTCAGTGCATTGTGTTTTTTTTCCACATGGTGATCATAAACAATTGTTCATGACCAACCAAGGCAAAGATTTTATTCAGTACCTCAATAAAATAAAAATATAGTGTCATATTTCCACATGTATTCAGCACATTGCATTCTTTTTTTTTTCTTTGAGCACATTATCTTCATCTTACAGCCATGTTAGAATGTAATATAATTAATTTTAGATTGAATCGCTACTAAATGAAAAATGCTTACTCTGCTAAATGGTATGGTATCTGATAGCCCTCATCCATAAACATTTTTAGTATGACAAGCAGGTTCCATGTAGCACAACTTAACGCCACGTTCCTTAAGATATTTTTTCTGTAGATTGTGTAGATGTGCAATTAAATCGTAAATAGTATTACCAACCCAGTTAGCCGTGATGTATGATTTAATGGAAATAAATGTAATGACAAGCATACTTCCAGCCAAAGAGACCCCATTTCTTCCTCTCCTTGTCCTCGTCCATACACTGGAAATGTTGAGGCGAATGTATTAAGCCCATATAGCCGTTAGATACAAATAAATGAAGTCTGATAATGTCCCTCATTTCACGTTAAATCCCCTCGGGTGTCTGGCTTTTCAGCCTACGGTTTCTGTAGGATATTATATGTTTACTAACACGTGTATGTGTGTGTGCACAGGGGAAGAAGAAAAAAACAGGAGATAGATATCTACGGTACATAGATTTACAGAGAAGGCAGACCTTTTTACAGCCGTTTTTGTTATTATGCATCCTTCTATAGGTTTGGAAAGGTCAGGGAGGGGGTGTTGGGTTAGTCAGGCATCATTGTCCACTGGCTTCAGGCTACCAATAGAGTTAAACAATCCTTTTAATTAAAGTAATTGTTTTTGTTTGTTTGTTTCTGTCCCGGGGCTCTGAGTAAAATCTGAATAAATGTCAACGGCCTATGAGTTCAAATAAATGTTTTTTTTCTTCTCTTTTCTTCACATTGTCAATCTTTCTGTTTTTGTCCTTTTTTTTGTCTCCCAGACACTTGTACCCCTCCGTTGTGTCTATGCTTAAGGGATTGAAGTGTGAGTGTGTGTTTGTGATGATTAATGTGAAATATCCCGTAGCCAGATGGTGCTGAGCGTGGCCCATCCATCAGCAATGAAAAGACCAGTGGGCAAAAAGCTGGCAGGGCACTTTGTCTAGGGCCAATGCCCCTCACTCGACACACACACACACACACACACACACACACACACACACACACACCCTCTGTCTCCGACACTAGCCAGACTCTCTGAGGCCTTGACTGTGTGACCCACTGAGCCATGTTGGGGCCATGTGTTTTGTTTTGGAATACACGTTGTCTCTTGTGCTTTTGCTTCCCGAGTGCTGGTGCCTCACCCTTAAAACAAGTTTGGCATACTTTCGACATGTACAGGTCAGCAACCCATTTTAGTCTCCAGATGGAGGTTCAGGCTCAAATTGTTGCATTTTCTACAATTCTGCTGTGTGATTTGTGTACATGTGAGTTTCTAAGTAAGACGCCATGAGCTTGTTGTGTATTAACAACAGTAACCAATCAGTGCTTTGGAGACGTGACCACACTTTATCCTCTGGTGCAAATGTGTGCATGTGTGTAGTTGTAAAAAGGTGTTTGACCCCCCCCCCCCCCCACAGCACGGACCCGAGACTTCTTTCCATCCCTCTGTCATCTAGTCTAAGGTTCTGCTCCCTCAGGGCTTCCAGGTTGAGGGTGTGAAGCTGCCACCCCGCTTTAAACTTGGGGTGTGTGAGTGTGTCCGCGCATTGAGCTGTTTCTGGCGGCGCTGATACAACCCCTCTCACCCCACGCCGTCGTGGTCTCCTGAGAACGCACACGGACACACACATAAATTCTCCATGCTGTGTTCATAGACCTGATTGACAGTGGTGACAGTTTTCCTTGCGGCAAGGGAGGAGGGACAAGCTGTCAACATGGCCCGGTGCACCTGCCCAACCATGAGAGGGAGGGAGGGAGAGACACACAGCGAGGGAGAGATGCAAGGTGGAGGGAGCGATAGCAAACGAAAAGCTGAAAGATTAACAAGAGAAAAGAAAAAAAAGTGTAAAGCGTTTTATTTCTTCCACTCAATAAACCTCCCCACTTGTTATTCGGAAATCCCTGTTTGCCTCATGAAAGTCATTTATTTATCTTTGAAGAAGTAAAAAAAAAAGAAAGTTAATTAGTCCAACAATTCTCTCTCCCCCCCTAAAAGATCACATCTTTTTTTGTATTTTTTGCACGTTGCTAAACTGTACAATTAGTATTCAGCTTTTTTTTTCCCTTTTGGCAATTTTAATTACTTTTACTTTTCAGAATGAGTTTTTTTTTCTCTTTTTTTTTTTTTAAAGCTGCTGTTTGCATTGTTGTGAAAAAGCTAACCTCCATCTTTGTCGAGCTTGACATTTGCTTGCCGCACTTTTATTTTTCTCTGCTGCTAATTAACAGACTATTCAGGGCACGAGAAGCTGGGATTGTAATGAGGAGCCAATAAGAGAGGAATATTGGTTTGGGAGATTTACTTTTTCGCCGTGCCTTCCTACTTGTCTCTCCACCCATCTGCTTCTTCCTGTCTAGTCTGTGAAAGCTATTCTTTTGTGGTGTTCTCTGGCTCAGCATGGCTCTTAAAATGTTAGGAAATGTCTTAAATTATGTAAATCTAAGACTTTAATGGGACCCTTTTGTTGCTGCCGTACAAAGGTAGTTGATTATCTTGCCATTCTTTTTAATTACATGCTGATAGCGGCACCTACTGTGCCATTTCTTTGGTAATTATGATGGCTGCTCATCTCTAAGGGAGACACCATTTGCCCTCCTGAGGAAACCCATTCCGGCCGCTTGTGCGCGCAACCTAGTTCTTTCGTCTGTGACCCATCCTTCGCGACCAAAAGTGACCAGTAGCAACCAAGATTGACTTGTACTTTGAGCGCTTTGGCCTTCCGGCTCAGCTCTCTTTTCGTCCCGGCGGTGCGGTAAGCGAGTGCAATGCCGCCCCCGTTGCTCCGATTCTCCGGCCAAACTCACACTCCATCTTCCCCTTAATCACCAGCAAGACCCCGAGGTACCTGAACTCCTTCACTTGAGGTATGGACACATTCGCTAACCCGGAGTGGGCAATCCATCGGTTTCCTGCTGAGGACCATGGCCTCAGATTTAGAGGTGCTGATCCTCATCCCGGCCGCTCTAGTGGGAGTTTGAGGTCACAGACCGAAGAGGCCATCAGGACCACATCATCTGCAAGAAGCAACGGCGGGAGCCTGACGAATGTCCAAGGAATATTGAGAGGGTCTTTCCATGAAAATTCCTTTGTGCCGTCTGAGTGACCTATGTGTTATTGTCGTAGCGGCAAACGCCAAAGTGACCACACCCCACCAGAAAAGAACACCTGTGTATATCGTGCAACGTGGATGGACATAGAAAAGGCAGAACTTTGAGGAGCAGCATTAAAAATGTTGGTTTGCCACCAGGATAAACCTGCACGGAGTGTGAACAATTTTTTCTTCGTGACGAGGTCTGTGCGACCGTCCCGGTGGAAAGTTTAACTGAGGCTTAAGCTGCAGGGTAATATAGCACCTCATGTTTGATCAAAGGAAACCAAAATGGACCAAATGCAATGTGACATCTGTGTGCATGTGTGTCTACATGCGTGTGTCCACCCACATTTGCAAAGCTGCGTAAACATTTTATTCCCGGCTACTGTACAGTAGAGCACT